ACATTTAAAAAAATTTTTTTTATTTGAAAGGCAGATTTACAGCTAGCTAGCTTCTATCTGCTGTTCACTGCCACAATGGCCGGAGCTGAGCCGATCTGAAGCCAGGCGCTTCTTCCAACAAGTCTGCCATGCAGGTGCGGGGGCCCAAGGACTTGAGCCATCTTGCCCTGCTTTCCTAGGACATCAACAGGGAACAGGATCAAAAGTGGAACAACTGGGACATCCTATTTGGGATCCCAGTGCTAACGGGCAGGATTAGCTTGTTGAGCCACAGTGCTGGCCCCCTGGTTAAATCTCAAATATCTACCATCTTAAGTGTTTTTGAAGAAGCAAAGAGTTATTTTTGTGGATGCTTTAAACATTGCAATGGTGCTTTATAATCCTACAGGCTGACTATAGATAGTAGAGTTAGGAATGATTTGATGACTTGAATGAAGTTGGACACTCACTTTGCAGCAGCACTCCTTATGATTTTAAGAATTAAAAAAAAAAAAGTTAAATGAAGCCACTAGTACTTTACAACAGAAAGGCTGAGGGGGAAGCCCCTTTCTCCCTTTGGCCAGCTTGGGGTGCTGACTGCACAATCGGGCCGGTTTCTTTACCACCGCTTGGAGGTTAGGGAGAAGGCCCAGCCCAGGGCTTGGGAAAACAGTGGAGCTTTCGTGAGGGAATGTCCCAAGCTGCACTCAGCTGTCTGCCCTGGTCTTGGCTTGGCATAGTCTGGTGGAGTTCCTATGGGCTCATGCCACCGGCAACAGTGAGGAGAGTTGAAGCGGGCCCTCTAAGAGAATCTGTAATCCCCTCCCAAAGGTCCAAAAGTCCCTCCCTCACCTCCTCTTTCTAGTACAGCTACACACACACACACACACACACACAGATATGTGTGTAGGGTCCATCTGCTGATTCATTCCTCCAAATGGGTGCAATATCAAGGATTGGTCCAGGTTGAAGCCAGGGTCCTGGAACTCCATCTGGATTGCCCACACGGGAGTGCAGGGGCCCAAGCATTTGAGCCATTTTCTGTGACTTTCTCAGGCCACTTGGCAGGCAGGGAGCTGGATGGGAAGTGGCATGCCACAGTCGAAGGCGGCAGCTGCTTATCTGGCTCTGCCAAGCCAAAGGCCCTCCGCTAGTCCTTTAAACTAAAGGGGAGGTTAACAGTGAATTCATAGCGGTGTGGGCTCCCTTTAGAAGCACATGTGCACACGTGTGCAAGTGGGAAAGCCCTGCTGTTACCAAGGAGCGTGCAGAAGATGGAGTAGATGTGGTCAGGTCTCGGGGTAAGGTGACAAAGGGACTGTTTTTGGTTCAAAGAGAGCACATGGTAAATCTGCCAAAGCACACAGCAGTCCTGCTGCTGGAGTGGCAGGGGCTCGGTGTCTGAGCACCGGAGGCTTCAACAGGGGGTCCAGGGGCATATTTTGTTTCCCTTGGTAAACACCCTTCACCCATCTGCAATTTCCTAAGCCTGCATTGGGGCTAATGGCGCTGAGGTCACAGCACCATCCTGAGAAATGTTACAGGGAACCGGGATCCTAAGTGCTCCGTAAACTTCATCCGGTACCCTTAAAAGCACTTCAAAGTTGACAAACATTTCACTTACAGCCCCTTTTAACCGGACAGCAGCTGCAGCACCCCCCCCCCCGCTCCGAGGGGGCGGAGCGAAGAAGGAAAAATCACATTTTAGCAGGGCTAGTGGCACGAGGCCGGCTCTGCGCAAAGCTCGGGTGCAGGATGTAGACCCCTTCTGCCTCACTCCGCTCCTGATCGCAGATGGGTGCTAAGCGGTCTCCTAGGTGCTCAGCGTGCCCTTTTCAACGCAAATACGTTCAAGAAAACCGGCCAAAGTCGAAGTGTTGGCAACCACGCGCGAGGGGCAGGCTGGGCGCACACAACCCACTCACGCCCGAATCGCGCCGGGCCGACCCGGCCTCGTTCTCGTGGGCGTCCGCGCATCCAAGTCCCTCAGCCAGACGCACCGGAGCCCACGGTTGCGCGGGGCCTCCGGGGACGAGGCCTCGGGGCTGCTCCCGAGCCGGCACCGCTGCGGACCCACTCGCGCCGTCCGCCTGCGACCCGCCTCCCTCCGGCTAGAATCGCGAGCGAGGGGTTGGCTCGCTCCCGCACTCTCTCGCGCGCGCTCTCTGTCTCCTCCCCCGCGCGCGCGCACACACACTCACACACAGACACACACACACTCACACCCCGACAAGGCCGCACCGCGGCGCACGCGCACTCGCCGCCCAGGAGGCATGGAAAGTTCCAGCCGGTTCGCGAGCCGTAGGTAGCAGGCGCGGCGGGGGTAGGGCCTCCGCTCCGGGCCGCGGCCCCCCGTCGGTCTCCTGTCCCCGGGGAGCGGCCGGCCGCGGGCTGGGAGGGCAGGGGGAGCAGGGTGGGCGGGAGTGGGGGGCCGCCGCGGGCGGGGTGGCGCGGAGGCGGGGCGCGCGAGGGGCGTGCCGAGCTTCTGCGCAGCTGCCAGCTCCTTTAAGCCCGGGCTCGCGCGGCCCGAGAGCGTTGTCGCCGCCCGGGAGCTGTCCGGCCCAGGTGGCCCTGAGCTCTTTTTTTTTTTTTTTTTAAACTTGATTTTATTTCCTCTTCCTGCCGTCCCCGCCCCTCCGCGTCCCGCGCCGCCGCGCGCTGAGAGATCCGGGCATGCCCCGCTACGAGCTGGCTTTGATCCTGAAAGCCATGCAGCGGGTAAGTGACCTTTACCCCGAGAGCCCCCCGTCTTCCCGCGCGGGCGTCCCCAGCGCAGCTAGGCCGCCGCCGCCCTCGCCTCCTCCACCGCCCTCGCCTCCTCCACCCCTGCCCCGGGCCTCCCCGCGCGCACGCGGCCGGGGGACGGGCGGGCGGGCGTCCACGCGGAGGGCCCGGCCGCGTGCGCGCGGGAGCGGGGGTGTGCCCGGCGCGCGGCGTGGCGCGGCGCGGCGAGGGTGTGCCTCGCACCCGGCCGGGCGGGCGGAGGGGGGTGCGGGGGGTTGGGGCGGCCCGCGACCCCGACTCGGGCCCGCGGCAGTCGCCCGGAAGGTCACGCGCGAGCGTCCAGCCCGGCCCCCCGCCTCGTGAAGCTGCTCGTCGCCCGGTCCCCGCCGCCCGCTCCGCCGCTGCCGCCGCCACTGCCTCCACCGCCGCCGGCCTCCGCCGCCCGCCTCGGCCGCCCCGGGACGTCGGCGCTCAATAAAACGGTCCTGCAAAGCGTGTTTGTGCAGTTCTCTGAGCAACCTACCCCCTTGCTCTTCATTAAGGAAAAAAAAAAAAAAAGAAACCGAAAAAAAAAACCAAAACCCAAACCCACCCCAATCCTGTGACTTCTCTTTTTTTGACTTCAGCGACCGCCCTGCGCCCGACGCCCCTAGCCCAGTTTCATTCATCCAGGTGTGGCCTAGCTTGTGCCTTCGGAAGACCCTTTCCTGTCCCCCCCATCCCCGCGTCTGTGCGATGGTGAGGTAGGGGTTTCAGGTTTGCAGGGATGCTAAGCCAACCAGCAGCCCGTTCATCAGCGGGTGACCGGGGATTGGGGGTGGTGGGGGCCCGGACAGGGGGGGCCGGGCCCGGGGGGTGCTGGCGGGGGCCGGAGGCAGCTTGGTCTTCTTCCGTCGTCCTCTTTGTGTGGGTAGGGGGTCAGAGGCGCATTATGCTCCTCAGCTCGTCGCCGAAATCCCCAATGCTTCCGTGAGTGTGGGGCGTTGAGCGTGTGAAGTATGCTGCGTATCCCGGCCTCCCCGAATCTCTCCGCTCCCACCACCCCACGCCAGTAGATTTGAGACGAAGGAAAAAAGTTGTTACTACTATCTGAATGTTGGTGAAAGCTGGTATTGTTTCCCGCGCTGGAGGTGGACGCTCAGTGTAGGTTGAATCGGGCTTTTGAGGGGCAGCCTCCAAGAGGACCCGCTCACCAAGTTGCGTGGAAACAGAAGCCTGGGATGGCCAGCTGGGCTTCTGGAAACTGGCGGTAGCATTGTACCTTGCTGCTGGAGAAAGGACGCCAGTGGCTGTTCACCTGCTTCGGAGGGGCTGCCCAGCGCCTGCTGCCTCCCAGTCCTGGGAGAGTGGTGCACGGTAGCTCGGTGGGCGTGGCAGGCTTGGCGCAGAGTAGTGACGGATAGCGCATGTGCACGTCTGAACTCGCACGAGTGTTACCCCGCTTACAACAAGTAGGAATAATGGAAAAAAGTAATCCAGTGGTCGTGGTTCTTGGGTGGTGGTGTCTTGGTCAGCTATCCCGTTATATAGCCATACCTGTGTTTGTTGTTTTGGGGGTAGTTCTAGGGTGGTGGGGGTGTGGTGTACTAGTAATTTCTTGGGTGTAAGCTTTCGGGGTGGTGGGTGGTGCTTGCGCGGGCTCCAGGGGCTCCCCTGGCGGGGTAATGGTCCCCTTGGTTAGCCGTTGTGTTTGCTTTTGGGTTGAGTTGCCAGCTGTCTTGGTTGTACGGTGGCGGTGCAATGTGCGGTGGGTTTCATGTGTCTCTTGGCCAGTGCTAGTGGGGAATTGGTTGTTTTTTTTGGTTGGGGGGGGGGGGGGGGGACTGTAACAGCCAGGATTCACAAACTGGTTGTAGGGCATGCAGCTTTCACAAGGCACGTGCAGATTGGATAAGAAAAATGTACTTGAAATTCTTGCCCTGGGTTTAGGGTGCAGTGGGTGGAGGGAGGGTGGGAGGAGAGCAGAAAAAGAAATGAGCAGCTCAGTGGAGGGGAGGGACACTGGGTCGGGGAGGGGAGCGCTGGCCGAGCTGTGTGAGGAGCTCCTGGACCACTGTGCAGACCCCACTTAGTTCTTGTTAAAAACTTCCCTTAGGGCCAGATTTTGGTGACTTTGCTTTCAACTTGGGAGGTTGTATTCTTGGGGTTTGTCAGAGTACTATGGTGAGTGCACCCCTCTGAAGGCCCTGGGGGAAGCTCATTGGCCCCTGCTTGGGACAGTGGCACTTCCTTCAAGGTTTTAAATGGGTCCTTTATTCCCACTCCTCCTTCTGCAGGTCCTTGCTGTGTTTGACAACTTTTATTAGAGCAGCCTCAGAAGTTGCTGGGTAGTTTCTGCGCCCTTGGGGCTCCCTTGCAGCACACTGTTTCCTGGGGTGCTCTGACCCTGTGGAGCAGTCTAAATCTCCTTGGCAGGAAGGTGGTCCTTCTCCCCCCACCCCCAACCAACACCATTGTTATTATTTTTTTTTTTTTTTTATCTCCAGCTTGGTTTTAAAAAACTGAAGTTACAGTTTCTAAATCTAAAATCTGGATACTATGTTGAGGCAGCCCCAGCACTTGACCCTGTGCGGCCCTGGTCCCTGAGCCCTGTTGTATTTGAGAGGGTGGCGTGCAGTGTGTCCTCACTGAAGTATAGGGTTATGTGTTCAGCAGGCACGCAGTTCCGATGCTGTTTCTGTTTGTAATTGGGAGTTGATTATGATCAGTGTACTTCAATGGCTCTTCTAAGATTGTGCATTTACGTATATTTATGTAGACACCAGCCTTCCCAAGAAGACATGTACAGGTATTGTATAGCTTGAATTTTAATGTATACATTTAAAAAAAGTTACCCTCTCTGTGTTCTCCCTACTTCAGGACAAAAAGTAGGTACGTATGGTTAAATTCAGAAATGTGACTGGTGATGTGTAATCAATGTTGTGAAGCCTGGCCTTTGAAGATAAGCCGCTTGACACGGTAGTTGTGTAGCCCAGTCTTAGCCCAGACTTACAGAAGGATCTCCAGAAGGAAAACCGTGTCAGAGTCCTGTTGCACGTCGCTCAGGTAGCATTGGAGGAGGTTTTGCCCATAGCTGGAGAACATGGTATCAAAGGCACCATGTGGAAGGACGTAGAGGAAAGACCCAGGGCAGATGCCCAGGGCATTCTCGGCTCCGTCTGAGGAGGACTTTGCCCAACAACTGCGAGAGAAACGGATGGCCTGTGAGCTGGTGAGTGCTCTCCGCCTGTGCCTTGTCTCCCTGCAGTGGGACCTCTGCCGAAGAGAGAAGGGGCCGTGCGCGTCCTAGGTGAGCTCTGCTGCTGACACCCGGAAAGGCTCCTGTCCTCCGATTGCACTTTGTAATTGGGTTTCAAAGATTGGTAGTAAATTTCAGCTAGGTAAAACAAAACGGCCAGACTTGTCATTTCCTGACCGATGACGCTGGTACAATAGAGCAGTCCAGGGAAAGCTGTGGAGATTTTTGTAAAACCTTTAGGCCTGGGGCAGGTATAGGATGAGGGATTTTGAAAATATTCTTGTATGTGTGGGTGTGTTAGATTACTGTAGGAACTTGGTAGTTCTGCTCTGCTCAGATTAACACAGTTGGCATGAGGGCCTTAAAAATGTTGTGGAAAAATGAAAGTAAAGGTAAAGTTTATTTTGCTGCAAAAAATGGAAAGCCTCAGATAGTATTCTTCCTTATCTATAATCTCCATAAACTTTTTAGGTAACCTCTCTTAGTTAAACTTCTAAAAGTCTGGGAAATCTTTCCTGATTGCCACTCAAGAATTTTTGCATGAAGATCTAAGGTGAATGGTTGACATAGTAAACTGGCTTAAATGGGAAATGAGTGCAGGTCTAGTCAGCAGCCTTTGCATCTCCTGAGGGTGTTCCTCTGACCTCATGGGGGTGACGTAGAGAGCTGCTTTGGGCATCTTATGTTCCTGTTTTAAAAAGATGGTGTCATTTCATGCTCATTAGTCTTAATGAAAACCAGTTATGTTTAATACTCATCGAAGCAGTTCTTTGTAGGTGAGCAGCTTTTACATGGAGGAATGTAACGCTCATGTTCGGAGAACTTGGAAGACAATACATTTTCTCTTGTGCACAGAAGAGTGTCAAGTTTCTCTTCCCTCAAGCTCGTCTGATTAGAAAACCTGGCAAAAGTTTTTGAGCTGTGTTCAAGTTAGGGTCCTCTGAAAGTAATGCCTGTAGGATCTGGATAGTGTGTGGAGGTTAGGGTACTGATGAACTCGCTGTGGAGCCCGCCAACTCTAGCGTTTGATAAGTAGGGATAGTGAAATTTGTGTTGTCAGTTCATGGAAACATTTCTGTCAGGTGAGCAAGCCCGTTGGTGTCTCCTCCACACCCCGTGGGCAGCTCAGCTCGTATAGGATAATGTACGTACACCTTGTCCGCTGGGAGCCGGGCGACATTTAGCCTGTGGGCAATGTTACGTTGTCATTTGGTGTTACCATTTTTCTTGGGTTCCAATTCATTGTGGAGCAGCGAGTGATTGAAGAAGGAGTCTGTTCAGGAGTGGCTTAGGGGTGAGAAGTCCTTCCCCCACGCATGGTGCACATGGTTTGTGTGTGAAGTCCGCTTGCCAAAAGTTGACATTCTGCACTAATTCATTGTTGCTTTTTATGATTCACATTCAGATCTGACTTTTGTAAGTTTTTAAAATCTAGGTTATGTCTGTTACTTACACATATTTCTGTTGAGTCCTCTCCACTTTCCAGATTATTAAATCAGTTTAAAGAAGGAAGACTTTGAAAGGCAATGAAATGGTAGAGAAGCATTTTTCATCTAATGCTCAAACTTACATTTGTAATATAACCCATCTAAAACAAACACAAATTACCAAAACATTGTAACATTAAGATGAAGAGTAGAGAGGATGGTGAAATACTTTGGTATGATTAGTATTTTATACAATGTTAGGTTTTGTCAGACTTTCCCATTTTGAGTAACTATTCAAGAGGAGAGTACTTCTTGCACTGCTTTTGAGAAAGTGCTGTTCTTCAAGTGTGACCAGACACACTTAGGGGAACCAGATGTAAGGAGTCAGTCAAATTCTTGTAAGTTAGCGATTCATCTAGAGGAAAAAGTGTGCTCAGGACTCTGGGGAAGGACAGTTCATCCAGCCCTCTGATCCTAGGTGATATGACATTGTGCTGGACTCTGAGTGCATGTTTTAAGAAGGCTTATATTTTTCAAATACAGAGTGACAGTGAGTGGCGGCTCATCCATCCATTGGCTCACTTTTCAGATGCCAACACCACTTGTCTCCAGTAACCAAGAACTCCGTGTCTCTCACATGGGTGGCAGAAACTCAAGTACTTGTGCCACCATCTGCTGCTTCCCAGATGTGAAAACAGGAAGCTGTATCAGGTGTACAATAGCTAGGACTGGAACGGGCTCCCCGTTAGGGAAGGTGGACACTGTAGTTGGCATTTTAACTTGATTGTGTCCTAGTGCAGGCTGAGCTGCGTTTGTAGCCAGGAAATCATAGCAAGATCTTTTAGAGTAATGATTTTTCTGACTGTATTGGCACTTGGCTAACGCATATTGTATCTCTGTCTCAAATATTTGCAATTAATACAATGTTAATAACAAATAAAAAATTAAAAAAAATATATTTGCAATGGGGTCTGGCATCCAAGGCTGCCTTTGAAACACATTTAATCTATTTTATGTATTTTTTTAGCCACCTCTTCCTAGTTTCTTTCACACTTCATTCCATATACCAAATAAAACAGTTGCAGGTCTTTATCAATTCCATTCCTCATTTTTGTTTTATTGCTTTTATCACTACTTCTTTGGAAGTCCTGTCTTTCCATGTGACTACCTTAACTCCATGAAAACCTGCCATTTGGTACATGAATCAAGGACCTGCACCATGAGGAGCATAGATTATGATCTATGCCTGGTCATGGGTTGGTTTTCTGTTTCTCATCACATGGGTCACAGTCTGTTTTGTGTTACTAGATTGGTGAATGCATCTTAACCTTCTTTGCTAGATTGCCAGTTTTTAGGGATCTGCTCTTATCCTTTCTGTCCTCTGCTGTACGTTTGTGTGGGTTAACTGCCTTGAGAGAATTACTGTTCTTATCTCAGAACAGTTCTATAGGTCAAATTGTGCTGGTCTCTTGTGCTGATAGGTTGCTTTCACGTTACTGCACTGTGCTTGGACTCTGTGCATTGCATTTGCCAGACATTGTGTCGATTCCAAGATTGTTGAATGGAAGGTATTTTTTATTTTATTGTAATTTAAGTATCAAAGTGCCGTGTGAACTGATGGGTGCTTTTTTTTTTTTTTCCTTGAAATTGGATTCTTGGGGGAAGACTTGGTAAAGTGAGCCACTAAAGTAGCCTTAGAAGTAAGTAGGGTTGATACAAGTTTGGGAGAAGGAGTAGCAGAAGGAGGATGCTCTGTACATGTTTACTGGGATCCCTTTGCATATGAATGAAGCAGACTGGTGATTGTAGGTGGTGTGGAATCAGTAAGCCATTCCACATGATGATAGCATTGCTGGAGGGCTATGGCCTCATGTAAAGGCTTACAAATGAATGGGTAGGCTTGAATGACATAGCTTAAGATACATATGTATGACTTTTTGATTGGTTATAGTTGGTGTGAGTGCAAAGGCTCTTGTCTCTGCTTGTGCTTTGCTTTTTGTGTTTTGCCAATGAATAAAAGAATGTAGAATAAAAAAAATTGGTGTTATGGTGAAATAACAGGAGACATCAGAAGGAATGCAAATTGATAAGCCTTTTATTTGTTATTTATTTATTTAAATCTACCTAGGGGAACCTAACCATTTTGGATCCCCAGTTCTTTGTAGAGTAGGAATGAGCCTTTGGAGGGATCTTGAAAGTGAAGTGGTACTGGGGCACAGGAGGCGTGTTGTTCAAGTAGCTTGTGATCTCAGCAAGTTAGGGCATTTATTGCCTCCTTTTCACTATTCCCACTTCATTGATAAAGAGACTCCAGAAACCATTTGTAAATTTGCTTGATTAGAGTGTTAGACTGAGTCAAACCTGAAGGAAATTCCTTGCTCAGTAAGTACTGGGATAGTGGTTTTTATGCTTAGTATTCCACTCCAGATTGGGGAATGAAGGCTTGGTATGATCAGTTCTTTCTGTCAGAGTCCCAGAAATTTAGGTTTTATAGGGAATCTGATTTTTAAGAAGTTGGCAACTAGTTATTTAGACATCACTATATATAGATATCTGTGGATCAGGTATAGCCATTCTTTGGTATGATTTGGAAGGTTGGCTTTAGACTTGCTTTAAACCCCCTTAGCATGTCTACAAACCCCACCTTGTCATTTGGTCACTGGTTTACTGTGGGGTAAGTAGTTTCTCAGTAAATGTCAAGTATGTTCAGTTCTTGACAGTAGTATCAGTTCTTGGTTTTAGACTGTTTGATGATTTTTTTTTTTTTTTTTTTCGTCTGAAGTGTTCAGGCTTAGGTTGCATTGGCTGAAGTATGCTTTCCAACATGTAAACTTTGTCAGACATTGGTTTCAGTTCATTTTTTATTCTTTGGATGATGGCTTACGGTAATAATTTACACCCACTTTATTAATCTCTTAAGATTTTGAAATACTGTTCCGTAAGATTGCTTTGTTTGGAAAATGGCATTTGTTGAGCAAGGTATACTGTGGAGTTCACAGTAGTTAGCATTACTTATGGTTTTGGAATAAAGTATTACCGTGAAAGAAATTCATGTGCCTTTTTACTCAGCAGTGTAGAGTAAGGGGATGTTTGGCCATGCTTTATGTATTCATAGAAGAAAAGCCAAGTTACTGTCCCTTTTCCATTTTCCCAGTCCCCATCCCCGCACAGTGGGTCCAGATAACTGGTCTGTTTCAGTTTATGTTCAGGTTCTCTGTGGCAGTGATTCAGGGTGAAGGGGATTTTTCTGTGAGGGTTAGGGTATTTGCCAGTCATGTTACAGGAAAGGAGCACTTAAATTTTTGCTTGCTTTTAAAATTGCTTAGCCCTGTTAAGTAAGTAAAGTGACCTGATTATTGACTGGGTTTTGTCATTTGTCTCTTGGTGTACTGCTTGCCTCTGTCTTGTTAGCTGTCAAATAAGAAAGCAATTGAAGCCTGAAGCATGAGTGTCCCTCAAGGAGTGACCATCTTGGTAGCAATGTTTGTTTGACACGATGCAAGGGCCGAGGGTGTTCAAAAACTCAGTCTCTGTGTAACTTCCTGT